AGGGAGTACTTTGAGAAGCTTTATGCCACGGAACATCAAAACCTCGAAGAAATGGATAAATTCCTAGACTCCTACAGACTCCTAAGGCTGAACCAAGAAGACCTGGAATACCTGAACAGACCTATCACCATCAAGGAAATTGAAATGGTAATAAAACGTCTCCCCAAGCACAAAAGCCCTGGCCCGGATGGATTCACTAGTGAATTCATCCAAATCTTTAAAGAAGACTTGCTCCCAATCCTCTTTAAGCTTTTCCACAAAATTGAAATATCAAAAACACTTCCGAATAGTTTCTACGAAGCGAATATCACACTGATACCAAAAGCAGACAGAGATACCACAAAGAAAGAGAATTACAGGCCGATATCCCTGATGAACACAGATGCAAAGATCCTCAACAAACTACTAGCAAATAGAATCCAGCTACTCATCAAAAAGATCATACACCATGACCAAGTAGGATTTATCCCAGGGATGCAAGGATGGTTCAACATTCGGAAATCAATCAACATAATCCACCATATCAACAAAAGAAAAGATAAAAAGCATATGATCATATCAATAGATGCAGAGAAAGCATTTGACAAGGTCCAGCACCCCTTTATGATGAAAACCCTAGCCAAAATGGGTATAGAGGGGACTTTCCTCAACATAGTTAAAGCCATCTACCACAAGCCTACAGCAAGCATCATCCTCAATGGGGAAAATCTGAGAGCCTTCCCTCTAAGATCAGGGACGAGACATTGATGCCCACTCTCTCCAGTGCTGTTCAATATAGTACTGGAAATACTTGCAATAGCGATTAGGCAAGAGAAAGATATTAAGGACATTCAGGTAGCAAAGGAAGAAATCAAGCTCTCACTATTCGCAGATGATATGTTACTATACTTAGAGAACCCAATAACCTCCACCAAAAAACTCCTAGAAACAATAGACTCGTATAGTAAAGTTACAGGCTATAAAATCAATACCCAAAAGTCCATGGCTTTCCTATACGCAAACAGTGAGAGAGAAGAAAGCAACATGAAAAAAACAATCCCGTTCACAATTGTGCCCCAGAAAATCAAGTACCTAGGAATCAGCTTAACTAAGGAAGTAAAGGACCTGTACAAAGAAAACTACAAAACGCTACTTCAGGAAATAAAAGAGGACATGAGGAAATGGAAAGATATCCCCTGCTCATGGGTCGGGAGACTTAACATTGTCAAAATGGCAATGCTACCGAAAGCATTGTATAAATTCAATGCAATCCCTATAAGGATACCCATGACATTCTTCAAAGAAATGGAGCAAACACTCCTGAAATTTATATGGAACAATAAGCCCCCACGAATAGCTAAAGCAATTCTTGGGAAAAAGAAAATGGGAGGAATCAACCTCCCTAACTTCAAACTCTACTACAAAGCAGTAATAATTAAAACAGCGTGGTACTGGAACAAAAGCAGAACTGCAGACCAATGGAACAGGGTTGAATACACTGACATCTCCCCTTAATCATATGATCATCTAATCTTTGATAAAGGTGCAAGAAATGTGAAGTGGAGTAAGGAAATCCTCTTTAACAAATTGTGCTGGCATCACTGGACGGCTACATGCAAAAAAATGGGCTCAGAACTCTGCCTAACACCATGTACAAAAATAAGATCAAAATGGATTAAAGACCTCAACATCAGTCCAGACACCATAAGGTACATTGAAGACAAAGTTGGCAAAACCCTCCATGACATTGAGGCTAATGGTACTTTCTAAGATGCCACACCACTGGCCGAGCAAGTAAAAACAGAGATAGATAAATGGGACTATCTTAAACTAAGAAGCTTCTGCACCTCCAAAGAAACAGTGACCAAAATACAAAGACAGTCTACAGAATGGGAAAGGATATTCGCCAAATACACATCTGACAAGGGGTTGATATCCAGGTTATACAAAATACTGGTTAAACTCCACAAGAAGAAAACATCCAACCCCATCCAAAAATGGGGCAATGAAATGAACAGACACTTTCTCAAAGAAGAAATCCTAATGGCAAAAAAGCACATGAGAAAATGCTCTACATCATTAGTCATCAGGTTAGATGCAGATCAAAACCACAATGAGATACCATCTCACACCTCAGAGACTGGCCCACATTCAAAAGAACAAAAGCAACTGATGCTGTCGCGGATGTGGCGAGAAAGGGACACTCCTTCACTGTTGGTGGGAATATCGACTAGTTCAGCCCTTTTGGAAAACATTATGGACGTTTCTCAAAAAATCAGAAATTGAGCTCCCATTTGACCCAGCGATATCACTCCTGGGAATATACCCCAGAGAGGCAAAAATGTGTAGTCGAAGTGACATCTGCACTTGTTTGTTCATTGCAGCACTCTTTACAATAGCCAGAAACTGGAAGAAACCTTAGTGCCCAAGAACAGATGACTGGTTAAAGAAACTCTGGTACATCTACCCAATGGAGTACTATGTAGCTCTTAGAAAAGATGAAGTCATGAAATTTACATACAAGTGGTACAATATGGAAAGTATCATGCTAAGCGAAATGAGTCAGAAAGAGAGGGATAGACATAGAAAAATTGCATTCATCTGGGGGATATAAAGCAACAAAATATGAGATCAATACCTAAGAATAGCTGAGATCAAAACCAGGAGGATTACTCCTTAACTTAGAGGCCAGCCGGATATTCTAGGGGAAAGGGCAGTTCAGATAGAGAAGGGAACACCAAATGAAAGGTGTTTGGAGGATCCTCCCAGGAGGGGAAATACATGTTGAAAGTAGACTATGGACTGAACATGATTGCCACTCAATGCCTCTTTTGCAGACCACAACACCCAAAAGGAGAGAGAGAACAAAGGGGAATGCCCTGCCACAGAGGCAGGGTGGGGGGGGGGAAATGGGCACTGGTGGAGGGATGGGTATTTGATCATTGTATGACCGAAACTCAGGCACAAGGATTTGTAAATCTACATGTAAATCTACAACTGTACCTCATGGTGCTTCACTAATAAAAAAAAAAGAAAATATTGTGTTTAAGGTGGCAGCTTGAAGTAATGAATATGTTAAACTAATTTTTAAATGAAAAATTATTTCCTTGGGGCAAGAGGTGTAGTGCAGGGGGTTAGGTAGGTTGAAGAGAAAGTACAGGGATTAGGTGCTTGCCTTACATGGCTGACCGTGATTTAATCTCAGGCACTGCATATGGTCCCCCAGCACAACCAGGACTGCTTCATGATCAAATTTCAGGTTCAGCCCTTTGGGAAAACAGTATGAGTGTTTCTCGAACAATTAGATATTAAGCTCCCATTTGACCTAGCAGTAACACTTCTGGGAACATATCCCGGAGATGCAAAGTACTATACTCAAAATGACATCTGCACTTGTATGTTCATTGCAGCACTGTTCACAGTAGCCAGAATATGGAAGAAAAAAATCCAACCCAAGTGCCCGAGAACAGATAAGTAGTTAAAGAAACTTTGCTACATATACACAATGGAATACTATGCAGCTGTTAAAAAGATGAAATTATGAGGTTTTCATATAAGTGGATCAACAGGGAGAGGATCATGCTAAGTGAAAGGAGTCAGAAAGAGAGGGACAGACATAGAAAGACTGCACTCATTTGTGAAATATAGTAACAGAATGGGTGACTAACACCCAAGGATAGAAGAGATAAGGACCAGGAGGATTGCTCCATGGCTTGAAAATGGGCCTCACATGCTGGGGGACAAGGCAGCTGAGATAAGAGAAGGGATCACCAAGTAAAGAATACTTGGAGAACCCGCACAGGATGGGAGATGTGTGCCGAAAGTAGACTATAGACGAAACATGATGGCCACATTATACCTGGATTGCGAACCACAATGCCAAAAAGTAGAGAGAGACTAAAAGTGAATGTGCCTGCCACAGATGTAGTGGAGAGGAGGGATAGGGTGAGGGTGGTGGAACAGATACTGGGAATATTGGTGGTGGTGAATGGGCACTGGTGGAGGGATGAGTACTTGATCATTGTATGACTGAAATGTAAGCACAAAAGTTTGTAAGTCTGTAACTGTACACCACGGTGATTCATTAAAAAAAAACTTATTAATAATAAATGGTAGAATAAAAAATAAAATATGTATTCATTTTAAAAATGAAGTAGAAGACAACCAAAATAAAAAGAGAAATATCAGGCAATCCGATGAGATCCTGCTTATTCAGGATGGTATGGCTGTAGACTTGGGATTGCTATTCAAGTACTAAATATTGTAAAATATTGTGAACTACTTTACAAAAATTAAGTTTAAATTTAAAAATTAATTAAAATTTAACGCAAAAAAGAAACAAAAAGTCAGATGTAAGACCATTGTACTGGAGGTGGCCCCCAAATAATAAAAAAGTCCTCTGATAATAATTTTCATAAAATAATTTTCAGTGAATCCATATTGCATTCACAGTAGGCTTTTAAAAATCTTGGCTTTGGGTGAGTTATGATCTTGGTTTGAAAAATAGTTATTATTTCGTAATTTTATTTTTAACTTAAACATTTTTTTCATCTAATTTGTGGAGATAAAATTTCAAGTAGACTTTTTCTTTTACCTGGCAGATAATATTGCCTCTGGTATTATATTACAAAATAAAATTCACAGTACTGTTTCCAAAATGAAACAATGTGAAGGTAGATTTGGCAGTTTCAATTTAATTTTCATAGTATACATTTGCTCCTTATTAAGGTAGTATAAGTAGCTAAAATGGTGCTGTTAGCTTAAATTGTTTTTCTTTACATTATTACCTCTTGTTTCACAGATTTATTAAAGTCTATCAACATACCATAAATTTTTACTCTCTGTTGTGTGTGATTTACTTAATGAAAAGGGTTAATTGAGAATTACTATAGTGTGATTTATATGGTAATGTATATCTTTAAAACTTGAGAAATAGCAAGAAAATATGTGTGTATTAATGTGTATATATAGGAAGCAAGATGTGACATGTGAAATTTATTTCTTTTTAATTTTCCTGTTAGGTTTTCCTTGTTAGAAAGAAAACTGGTCCTGATGCTGGGCAACTCTATGCAATGAAGGTATTAAAGAAAGCATCTTTAAAAGGTAGATATTTAAGAATGTTTATTAAAATATAAATTTCCAAGTTTTATTATAAGTATTGTTTTGTGTATTGTTTGTATGTAGTTAAAATGGATTTTATTTTCTTTTAACATTAGTATTTATTAAAATTTTCCAGCTACTAAGTAATATTTTTAAGCTTAATATTCTTTTGTGTCCAAATTTAGTGAGAGAATACCTTGGTAAAAAGTTTTGTGATATAAAATAACATATAAGTAAATATAACACTTAATTTTAAATTTATAATTTCATCATCATATTGTTTATATTTTTTCTGTACCAAATCGATATTTCATACAGAGAAAGCAAAACTATCTGTATATACATATATAACTCAACTTCTAAATTTGTCCTCAATGTATCTTTGCTCAATAATAAATAATATCATTTAAATATTTGGAGACAAATAGCGAATGTGTATTAGTCAAATAATTTTTATGTCATTTTAAGCCTTCTGTAGATTTAGACTCTGTTTGTTGACTGTTTTTCACTATGTTCATTACTATATAGGAATATATAGACTTCAAATTTAGGTGCTTATATAAATACATATTACATATAATATATAATACATATACTATATAAAATAAAATATATTTATGTTATTAATTGGTGATATTTTTACTGAATTTTTTATGAATAATATATTGTATTCATTTCATTTTTAGTTCGAGACAGGGTTCGAACAAAGATGGAGAGAGATATACTGGTGGAAGTAAATCATCCATTTATTGTCAAATTGCATTATGGTATGTAGTATTTATTTTTAATCTATGCAATTAGAATATCAAGATTTTCTTACAGAGAACAACGGGAAATAGTATTTCAGGCTATATTTAAATTATGTAAAATAGAATTATGCTTTAGGAATTAATAACCAGCTTTTACTTGTAGTTTTTTCCTATTGTTAAAATGACTATTGTAACAAAATAGAATCTGATTATTTCTATGAGACTTTTTTATAATGGATTTTAGTTCAAATAATCCTAGTATAAAAACCACTATGATAATTTATTTAAGACAATCTTATATTTGGATACACTTTTCTTACATATATAATAAGTGTACTAATCTTATTTATTGGTTTTATTGAAGAGGGCCATGTCTTTGTATTTGTCTACTTGTAATTCTTTCTTATAAGTTTTGGGTGATATATAGTAGTTTGAATTCTTATAACAGAAAAACTATGAACTTGGAGTCAGACAGTTCTGAGTTCTAACTCTGATTCCACTGAAAATATGGAATTATGTTTTCCTGAAAAATTCAAAGTAATATTCATAATTTAATCACTGAGTATTGGGTCACTTTTTTGAGATTTTTGAAGTGGTCCTTCTAAGCACTGCTCAGGAGGTCTTGAGACCAATCCTTGCTATACTCAAACAGCTACATTGAGTGAGTCAGTGCTAAGATCTGAGGATGCAGACCTTGAGTCAGTGCTAAGGTCTGAGGATGCAGAGCTTTTGAGATAAAATTTAACAGTTATTGGTGTTATTATTAGTCTAGTTTTGACAAAAGATACGTTGCGTTTTCTACAAAATGTCCTCTCAAAATATCTACAAGAAAGTCCTACCCACTATTTTTCATTAACTGTTACTCTACTGAAATGAAAGTAATAATGATTGAAGACCCATGTTTAACCTCCACACTGTCATTAATCAGTAAACTAATTGTGTAGAAAGTATGGCATTTTGTGATGTACATTACAGATATTAAACAGCCTCTTATCTAAAGAAGTTTTTAAAGTATAGAAAATATAGACATGTAAACAAATTTATTGCATAAATGAAAGTGGAATTAGCACCATATGATAGAAAAATAAAATATGAATTCTCAAAATTGGCAGCAAGCAATTTTAAAGGATAAGAGAGTAAAGATAACATAAAGACAAGTAAAAAGAAAATTCTCAATGGAGAAAAATTTAATAAGTAACTATTGTAGCTTGGGTTATATGACATAATGATTCATTGTTCATATATACTGTGAAATGATGATCATACCAATTTTAGCTAACATTTACCACCATATGTAGTAATACGTTTTCTTCTTTGGAGAAAAAATTTTATTGTATCCTTAAATTTGAGGATCTGTAGTCAAATTCCAAATACACAGCACAGTGAATCATTATTAATGTAGTTATCATGTTTTATATCACATATTTGTGGCACATTTATTTACAACTGAATTTTAGTACCTTTTTACCCCCTTTCACCTTCTCTTACCCTATTCTGGCAACCTACAATTTGCTCTCTATTAGGGAAACAATATGGTATTTTCCTTTCTCAGACTTATTTCACTTAACACATTATCAAAGTTCATTCATGATGTAACAGATACAAAACTCAGCAGTTTGTTATTGTTTTTTTCTGGGCTATACCTGGTAGTGCTTAGGGGCTACTTCTGGCTACTTTTTCAGGATTGTTTCTTATAGTTTCGCAGGGAATAGTGTGGTCTGAGGATCAATTCCTGGTCTCATTTATCTAAACCATGCTCCTGTTCTCTGGCCCTTTGGATTATCAGAATGCTCCAGATTTTCATAATTTTATGGCTCATAAATATTCCATTTATATACATACTACAGATTACTTACTGCTTCACCCATATATGGACACTTAGCTTGTTTTTACATGTTGTCTGTTGTAAGTAATGTCTCTGTTGTACATGGTCATTCTTATATCTTTTTGAATTAATACTTTCATTTCCTTCCAATAAGTATCTTGGAGCAGAAATACTTTATCTTACTGTAGTTTAGGTTTATAATTTTTGTAGTAACTATTACTTTTTCATAGTTACATCTTAAATCTACATTCCCACCAACACTACACAAGATTTCCTTTTATTCTCCTAATTCCCAGCATTCCTTATTTTTTCTATAATAACCATTTTGAGAGGTATCAAGAGATATATCATTGTGGCTTGGATTGATATTTCCTTATGATTGATGATGTTTGCATCCTTTTATGTACCTATTAGTCTTCTTTATGTATAATTTGGAAAATAATGTCTATTCACATATTCTGATCATTTTAAAATTGTATTTTTAATTTTCCTTTTAAGGTGTATGAGTACTTTATAAATTTTGAATATTGCCTCTTATCAAATACGTCATTTCAAAATGATTTTTTCCAGTTTAGTAGAATCCCATTTCTTTTTACTGCTGATTTCCTTTGCTGTGCAGAATTTTATTTTGATGTTTATTATTTTGTTTCTGTTGTCTTTGATTTTAGAGGCAGGCCCCCCAAAATTGTTGTCAGTGTCATTGTCAAGCCTCTTAGCATTTGTGTTTTTAGTATTATTATTGTTTCAGGCTTTTTTCTTGTTGGCAGTTCGGTCACACCTGGAGTTATTCAAGGGTGACTCCGAGCTCTGTGCTCTGGGTTCACTTTTGGAAGTGCTCAGGGGACCGTATGGTGCTGGTGATCAAACCTGTAAGTCTTGTATCCAATGTATGTGCTGAGACTTTTGAGCTCTTTTGCTCCTCAAGTTGTGTAGTCTGTGTTTTTTTCTAATTCATTTTAAATAAATTTTCACGGATTGTGTAAGATAGAGCATTTTCATTCTTTTGAAGGTATCTGTTCAATGTTTCCATCAAACACTGTTCATAAAAGACAGCGCCCTTTCCTCATTTTATATTCTTGCGTCATTTAAAATAAATTAATTGACCTTTATGTATTTATTTATTTAAAGAATCTCCATTATATTCCTTTGATTTTATATGTGTATGGTATTTTTATGGTTGTTATTAACTTTTACAGATATATTACTTGTATTTTTGAATACACTATGTTATTATTACAATAGGTACAAATAAGGGAAAAAAGCATGTAAGATTCTCTGTGATTAATGAAGCTTTACTCACTGATATAGCTTGAAAATACTCCAGGGATAATAAAATATGGGCAATTTATTTTAAGTGCATGTGTTATAACTTACTGAAGCAATTTTGAGACAAGTATTTAAATTAACAAAATGTGAGATGCAATTTTAGTTATGTGCACTATTTTTAAGAATGGTATTTTTTTCTTTACAACATAGAAATAATATTAAAAATGTATATAATTTTGTACTTTATTTATTTTAGTTTTAGTTTTTGGAGGCCACAGAGCCCTGGTGATGCTCAGGGCTTACTCCTGGCTCTGCACTCAGGAATTACTCCTGTTACTGTTCAGGGTACTATGTGGGATGCTGAGTATTTGGGGGGTACTATGTGGGATGCTGAGTATTAAGCCCAGTTCAGCCCCATACAAGGCAGGTGCCATACCCACTGTACTATCACTCCAAACCCATATTTTGCATTTTAATGACAAAGAATATTAAACACAGCAACCTGAAAAAGAAACAGGTATAGAGCAATATCTTTTCCAAAAAGGACGGATTTTTATTTATATAACAATATTGCATTAATATTTTATGCTAATGCTGTTTTTATAACGCCTTATAACTTGAGATCAGAGTATATGATATCTACAACATTTTTTCTCAAGATTGCTTCAAATTGTGGAATTTTTGTTGGGCCTGAAAGAATTACTAGGTTTTCAATAAGCTGTAGTAAGATAGAGTTCAGGCAGTTCCAGAAGAATATAACGCTTCACAAAGTGATGGTGATAGGAGTTTCCAGATAAAGCCATATGAAGAGTTGTTATATTCTAAAAATGGATTTTTAGCTTTGTCAGTAATAGATTTAATTTTTAATTATTGTTACCCAATACAGAGTCATGTGATTTGCTGATTGTGTTTGATAATACAATTCTAAAAATATATTAATTCAGAACATTATGAACAGTTTAAGCTTTTAACATTGTTCCCTTGTCAAACTTTAATTTCTAATTAGCCTTTCAGACGGAAGGAAAGCTGTATTTAATACTGGATTTTCTCAGGGGAGGAGACGTCTTCACAAGATTATCTAAAGAGGTGACTGTATATAAATTTTTACCCTATTTTATTGAAACAAGAAACTAATTTTTATTCTTATGCTAATTACTTTTTCTTTAAAATGACTTTTTAGGAAAATTTAAATGATGATTATTTTGTTTCATTTTATAATATTGGAGGTACCAGTTAATAAGCTTTTCTGACTATCATTAAGATTACCTGAATGTGCTACTCAATAATCTCTTCTGACTATCATTAAGATTATTTGAATGCACTACTCAATAAATCAATCTCTTCTACACAAGATTAATATAAATAACTAAATGAAGTAAATAGGGACAAGCCTAGGACTTTGATTACTCAAGTTATCAAAATGTTTCTGGGTGTAGTGCTTAATTTATTCAGTTTTGAGCAAGATTTCTGAGGGGCCATAGCGATAGTATAGCAGGTAAAGTACTTGCCTTGCCAGCAACTTCGATGTATTTTATCCATCTTACTGCAAAAGGTCCCCTGTGCACTGCTAGAAGTGATCCCTGAGCACATAGCCAGGACTGAGCCTGAGCACTGCCAAGTGTGACCCCAACTCACTTAAAAATGAAAAAGCCTCATGAAGACATAATTAACTTATACTACACTATATATACTTGGAGTAACAGATCTATAAATATTTACATTTGAACATTCCTATGAAAAATTTATCACAGTCAAAATTTAGCTTTTGCACTATGTCCAGCATTTTCTTGTGCCCATTTGTGATAAATTCTACCCCACTGTCGAGACTCAGCTCTCTGCCTGTATTTGGTTTACAGTTATTAGTATTTCATATTACTAAAATATTTGGTATATAATTTATTTAATTGGATTATTTAATTCAGCATTATTAATTTGAGATTAATCTGTGTGGTTGTGCCTGTTATTCATTGTTACTGCTGAGCAGTATACTATTGTATGGATATGCTGTAGTTTACTATTCCATCAGTTGTTTGTGTATGTTTTCGGTTTGTGGCATTACTAATAAAACTGCTAGAAATACTCAAACATTCCATGTTCATGGATTAGAAGAATTAATACTGTTAAAAAAAGCATATGCTACCCCAAGCACTATACATATTTATCCAAGTTCCTAAGATTCTGATGATATTCTTCAAGAAATTATAATGAAAACTACTAAAATTTGTATGGAAGTGTAAAACCCCATGAATAGCCATCCTGGGAAGAAAAGTTGAGAGGCATCACATTACTGATTTTATAACTATATCGTTAAAGTAATCAAAATGTTGTGGTACTGGAATAAGGGTAAATTGACAGAACAGTGGATTAGAATTGAGATCCCTGTGATAGTTCCTCAGATAAAGGCACATTTAATCTGTCATGAAGGAGTGATTGAAATAGCACAAGAAAAGCCTCTTCTTGTTGGGTGTTGGGAAACACTATAAGCGCTTGTGAAAGAAAATGAAATTGGACTTATATATCACATTATTGAAAAACTAATTCAAATTGGATCAAACATCCAGACTTTAGACCAGAAACCATAAAATACATTAAGGAAAACTACTAGAATTCCTCTAATCTAGACATCAAAGGTGTCTTTGTTTCAATGACAAATATATGAAAAACAAGAATAAGCAAATGGGAATATGTGAAATTGAAAAGTTTCTATATGTCTGACATAAGAAATTCGGACTAAAATTAAAGAAAACTTTACTGGCTGGGTAAAAGTATTCTCACACAATAATTAAGATAATGGACTAACAATCCAAAGTATATAAAACACCTGTGAAGTTCAAAAACAAATAGTCCAATAACCCATTAAAAAGGGTGAGAAGATATGAATAGATAGTTAAATAAACAAAGAAGACATGTAGATGGACTATAAGCATATGGAAAGTAGGTGTTTATTACCATTTTGCATCAGGAAACCACCAGATAACTATGAAGTATCATATCACAGCAGTGAAAATGACATACATGTATATGCACATATATATGCACATGTATGTAATTTCTATATGTATATATATATGTGTGTTTGTGTGTGTGTGTGTGCTCATTCTCATTCACTGATGGTGGGATTGTCACCTGGTTGATTCTCTATGAAAAGCAATATAAAGATTTCTAAAAACTTAAGAATGGAGTCCTCAAATGATTCATCTACCCCAGCTCAGATTTAGCAGACACGATGAGGGTAAAAAAATAGGCTGACTGTAAGTAACATGGAAATATAGGTGCAAAGTGTGGAGCACATGTGTTGTGCTTAGGGGGGTAACAGTATTCAACAAAAACATAACTGTCAATTAACAAATAATGGGGATATGAGTATACAGAAAATAATATTGGGCTCTTGTTGATTTAGGGATAGTGGTGAAAGGTGCTTTTCATGTGTGGTAACTTTAAATTGTACATCAATAACAGAATTAAATACTGTTGCAACTCTGATACCTAAAATATAAAAAAATTAAAATATGAGCTGGAGATCTATAGGAATTATGAAAATTTAATATTATAAGTGTTTTACCACTTCTTTAAATAAATGGTAATTAAGCACAACATATTATTTCATTATTGAATATTGGGTAAGCAGCTTATTTTGCATGCAGCTGACCCAGATTTGATCACTGACACCCGATTTGGTCCCCATGCCTGCTAGGAGTGATCCCTGAGAACTGCCAGGTGTGTCCCTTCATCTCATTAAAATATAAGCAAAATAAATTACAAAGCAAAACATTGTCCACCATTTTCAAATTTGTATCAGCTAAACAAAATAATTAAAAGACTTATTAAACACTATAAACCACATTGATAGAAATAATAGAATAAAGCATGCAATAGAAAATATTTTATGTTAATTCATTGGAAGAATTGTCACTGTCACTGTCCTCCTGTTGTTCATCGATTTGCTCGAGTGTGCCTAGTAATGTCTTCATTGTGAGACTTGTTGTTACTGTGTTTGGCATATAGAATACGTCACGGGTAGCTTGCCAGGCTTTGCCATACAGGCGAGATACTCTCCGTAGCTTGCCGGGCTCTCCGAGAACGCTGGAGGAATTGAACCCTTGTCGGTTGGGTTAGCTGCATGCAAGGCAAATGCCCTACCATTGTGCTATCGCTCCAGCCCCAGTTTTAAAATAACCGTTCTACCCAAAGCATTATCTAGATTCAGTGAAATTCTCATTAATATTTTGGTGATATACTTTAGGATTTATAACAAACTACTGAAATAGCACAGAGGCTGGAGTGATAGCTTTCACCGATTTTGTTCCAAAAGTCACAATTTCATGTTTATTTATTTAGACTATGGAACCACGCATGGCAGTTCTCAGGCCTTCTGACACTGTTTTCAGATCACTACCGGTGGGGCCTGGGGGCCCATATGGGGTCCTGGGAATAGAATCTTTGTCATTAACTTGGAATGCAAGTACCCTTATTACCTCTCCAATTTCTCTGACCACAGTTTCACTCGTTATAGAACTGTAGTATTTAATTGAGAATATATTCTGCAGCTTATTTTGCATTCATTTCTCGATGAACATTTTGGTTTTGGCTATTGTAAATAATGATTTTATGAACATAATATTTTCATATTACTGTATTATGCTGTAATAAATGATTAGTAATCAAATTTCTAGATCATGTGGAATATGTTTTTATAATTGAAGAAGGATGTTAATATTATCCTATAAGCTTTACATCTCTACAAAGAGTACACAAAAATCTTTCTCCACATTGACAGAACTTATTTCTGATCATTTTAAGAGAGCCCATTCTCAAACCATGTCTACCACCCAAGTACCAATATCCCTTTTTTAGTGAGAAAATGGAATGGAGGGACAAGAGTTTTGATGTACCTGTATTCTATATCTTTTTCAGAGTAATAACTCAAGGATAAGCATTGCAGATTATAGTAGAGAAATATATAAAAATAATCGTACACTTCTGAGGCAAAGGTGCGAAATCGAAAACCATCATAGAGCTGAGTTTTAGAATAAGAGTTTTGTTTTAAGGAGTCAGCTAACTAAGGGGAAGACTACGCATGTGGGGTTGGTATGAATAGCATGACTGCTATGGTGCTAAAGTTGTGAGTTAATATAAGGGCTACATAGTTGCTCATACATTGCTTGTGTTATTAGTCTTTAATTATATAGCTAAGAAGCATGTAAATTAATGCATATTTTTGTACTGAGTGAAAAAGGTGAAATAATTTCAGATTTGTTTTTACTTAGCATGCAAAAGTCATTTATCAGAAAGCTGGTACTAATAAGTTTAAGTTTGCCTGCAGTGAAGTCCAAGGCCTTTTTATTTTTTCTTTATACCTATGAACTCCTGAAGGCATTCCAAGCCACTCTCTTCCTCCTGTACAATTCAGGTGCCAGGTTATTTGTCATGTTGACTTCTCGACCTAGGTACACATAAATGTTGGATTCGGAGATGTTCATTCTGTTGAGAGCGAATGGAGCATCAGGATCTCATAAACATTGTTCTTGTGAGATTCAGCTGTAGTCCGACGTTTCCACACTCATGGTCAAAGTCAGCCAGGATTTGTGCCGCTTGGCTAATGTTTGGTGTTATTAGAACGATGTCATCAGCGAAATGGAGGTGGTATAGTTGCTGACCGTCTATCTTCACTCCAATTTCTTCCCATTCCAGTGTTGCATGACATTCTTGATGGTGGCACTGAAGAGTTTCAGTGAAATAGTATTATCCTACCGTACCACTCTCTTGACATGGATGATCACTTCGTAGTAGAATGGTGAGATCCTGGTAGTGAATCTGTAATAGAGATCATGGAGTATCCTGCTGTATTGAGTTTGAATACCCTGTTTGGCTAGGACTTTGATGACCGCTTCAGTCTCAACAGAATCAAAAGCCTTCTGTCTTGAAGAAATAGCTAAGAGGATGAAGAACCTCTGCTCTGGGCACATCTCTTTGATTCCACTGTTTTTCCTGCATTAACATACACCTCAGAGACCTGAGCTCTATGAAAACAGGATGAGAACGCTATTTGAGTCTCCCAAAGAGGAATCGAAAGAGCTATGCTTGGA